ATCAACAAATGCATTTTTCTGATTTGCATTGAATTTTAATGTTTTGTCAAATGTTTTGGACAGGTGATTTTCTCACACTTTTTAATAATAGCATATACTTTTGCTAATAGCCACAGCATTTTGTTATAGTTTATAATTTGTTTTGAGCTTTGTGAACTCCTGCTACTGGGGTGGGAGTCTGGAGTTGAGTCTGATATTTCTACCCCTCACCCATTATTGCTCTTTAGGTCAAAAGTCTATGAGTGTAATGATTAAATGCAAAACATCTGTGCCCTTATTATCAATTATGATGTGTTATAAATTATTATATGAGCAAAATTATTATTTATTTAACCATTTTGTGTTACATACTATTAATGTTATAATTAATATATCAACGATATATACTTACTACAATAACTTTTTTTATTAAACTGATAGCTATTCAAGATTGAAGTGTATAGTATTAGAATAATGTTGTACAATCCAGTTGTAAATAAGTAAAGCTCCAAAATAGTCGTTTTTTATTTCATTACCCACCTACTGTGTCTTTTTAGGTCAAACGACAAATTTCAATGATTTAGTAATGAGAACAACTTGAAAAAGTAATGTTTCTACGACTATTGAAAAAAGCGTGAATTATGTCTTGTTGGGTAAGTAGGCAAAATAATTCATGTCACACCTTCGAGCCAATCACAGCGGGCCAGTTTATAACTCCTTATTTTTGAGGTCAACCATAGATGAGCTTCATTACTTACAGTTTGAATTATTTTCATTCACAAGAAAGGCTTGAGAATTTTGTACTTGAAAATATGTAAATTGCTTCTCGTTATGAAATTCAGTGGTATTACATATGAATCTCATTTTCTAAAATTTCTGTCTTGAGTTCTAAAAACGTATAGTATTCTACTGCTCAAATGATTTATGACGCGAGAAAAAGGCGAACATCAACAAACTTCATTGTCACGAGTAATGGCCACATTTTTCACTCATTGAATAAAAAAAGGGAGTATTTAGGAATATTATGGAATAATTATAATAATAATGTTCATTCACAGAAAAAAAAACATTTTACATAAAAAGTACAAATTTAATTAAACCACGGCAATAAGGAAGCAATGTGAATATTGCTTGTATGTGTTATGGCCACCCTATAGCATTATATACATTCATTCACAAACATTAACATGAAGATATGCCGACATTTTGATAATTTACATATATACATACACACACACATATATTATAAAACTGTCACAATCGGGTTTACTTGGTTCAAGGTCAGGTAGAAGTCTTCATCAGATGCATTACTGTAAATCTCTTTCTGTAAATAAATTCCAGTTTTAACACATATATAAAATGTTATGTTTTCCCGTGGGGTTACTAATAATTGACTACACTGAACTATAATCAAACTTAAGTTTATTTCACTATCAATAAAACAAAACACATCGCAAACAAACAAACGAATGTCTATCGCCTTATTAGATTGCACTGTCCGCGAAACTTGACTGACCTGATAGGCGAGTAGATCGCATTTATATTTGGCAATTGAAGGCGGTAGAAAATTTATCGGAATTCCATGGAAGCCGGTGGCATTATGCTCACCACATCCAGAACGGCAGCGAACATCGAACATTCGCGAAAAGTTTGTTGGATTGGGCACGCTCTTAGCCACGTCACAATTGGTTTATGACTATCAGTGGCGGTCGGCGTTATTTTCTTTAGAGCATGATTTATAACAACAAATCTATCTACATACATATACTCATATACAAATGCACACATATATTCGAGTACANATATTTTTACAAGCACGTTGATATCAATTTTGTGAAATTCCATGTTACCCCGGAGAATTCTCAATATATGAAGGTAAAAGAACAAATATGTTTTGTGAGATTCTATTTAAGAAGCAATATTACAATGAAAAATCACAGTCAATCGGTCATGTTGTGGATGGCATTGTAAGTACACACTTTTTGTGTTTTCACCGGGTCACTATGTGAATTCACATATTGAAATCGCAATCAATTTACTTTGAAATCACAAGAACTGTGGTAAAATCCAATATCCTGTGATTTGACAATCACTCTTTATTTTAACTTACGTGAATTTTGAATTTGCATTCTGATAATGAATTCATATTGTGATATTCATATTAAATCCGATATTATCTGCACTTCAGGCTACTTTTTTTAGTGATCTCATGTAAATACAGCTGACGATTATGAAAAGGCGAGAAAATTCTATTTACTGTGAAAAAACTTGCTTTTATATTGAAAATGACACAATTGATGAAAAATATTTAAATGATATTCAGTAGTACCGTGCCTATTGATTTTTTGCTCTCCTGCAGACGTTGTCAAGAGCCTTTGACAATATTTATTTATATTTCAGTTGTATGGATTGATTCGATAGTCCTGAAATATTTCATTAGAAATTATTGGCAATTTATTTTGCGTGTGAATTACCTATGATCTTTTTGGAAATCGCAGTAAAATTGTAATTTGATAAAAATTATTGGAACCAAGTGAGATATCGTGGTGTGATTCATTCAACTTATTCAATGTGTACCTTGTATATTCGGTGTATCTGAAGTGGAATAGTGTCATTGAAGATTTCAGAGTGGTTGGTTTTTCAGAGGTGGTTACACGAAAACTGTAATCAATAGTATATGGTGGGGAGAACATGGATACTGATAATACAGATTTATATCTAAGATATAACTTTATCAATGTCCAAATCCACCCTGTTTCGGCGAATAAATCTACTGTAACAAAGAAAACATTTTTACATTCACCTGAATGTTATGTTTTGTATATTCAATTTCATCTCTTGCATTGAATTGAATTCATGTATATTTCGAGAAAAAGTTTTCCGAAAAAGTATTGTTCAATAGTCGATGTTACTCATCACCAAAATAAAAAAGTGCACATGAACATGGGACTGCATAGTTTTTGAGATACAGTGTGTTGAACATTTTCTAAAAATGATTTTTTTTTCAATATACAAATTTTGTATCACGTCACGAGAAAAGCTATAGTTCTATTAGTTTTTTGCTAAGACTTATTATACAGAAATTCAATGTGACCCAAATAATTGATGAATGAATGATATCTTCGAAATCCAACTATCAAGCGTAAGCTCATTTTTGCCATAGGATTTTTGTTTCAAAATTCCTCTCATTTCATATGATTGAAATTAATCTAGGCCCAAAATAAGATGTACTCACTTATACAGGATGTTATAGTCTATTTCAAAAGAGTGTAGAGTAATAAAATCTCATTAAGTATTCAAAAGCGCTACAGGGTGATCCGTCAATAAATTCTGTCACTTCCCTAGTCCGCATTGCAAAATTATGTCGTTTCATAAAGAGCAGGTAGGTATCACCCTGTTTTAAGGGATTTGTCCATTGTTATCGACGGATAAATACTGAGCCAGAGGCGCGCTAGTGGGATAATTGCCAAAAGAATATGCATTCATAAAAATTATATTAAAGGAAATAAAAATTTAATACAGCAGAACAGTGTTATTAAAAAAATATAAAATGTAACAATAAAATATATACGAACCGAAATCGGGAAATACTCACAAACACACACGAACGAACTTTACGTATTGAAACACTTGTGGGGACTTTAAATCAATTTATTCACAAAAACGACAAGAACTTTACTGGATACGTTATTACAATTTGACACTTGAACAATACTAAAACTGTGAAC